ACCATGTTGACCAGGATGGTCTGGATCTCTTGACCTTGTGATCCACCCGCCTCGGCCTCCCAAAGTGCTGGGATTACAGGCGTGAGCCACCGCGCCCGGCCCTTCTTCTTTTAAAGACTGGATTTCTAACAGCTTCTCAAGCCTGAAGGGTCTCATTTCAAGAGATTCCTTTGAACGGGCCTGGTCCTCTGGCTGACTGGAGAGTCAGGGAGGCTGGGTGGCAGCCTGTGATACCCTGAGGCACTTGAGGACTTGGACGGAGGATCCTGTCCTGACAGGGCCAGACTGCACCACACTCCCTAGTATTACAAATGGGTAAACTGGTGGACAGAGGAGAGGCGTTTTTCCTGAGATCACACAGCCAATCAGGGCGACAACTGGGAATCGAACCTAGATCTCTCCACTCCATGGTTGTGATTCCAAGTAACTTATGTTCTTTAAAATCGACACTTGTCTTAAGAACGTTCGGACGGGCGAACCATTGAGAGTTCCCGAAAGGCGAATACTCAGTTATCAACAGGTTCCTGCGGGAAAACCTGGCTGCGCCGGCGCGCCCGGGTGCTTTAAGGCAACCTGATCACAGCAACCCACTTGTCTTCCGCTTCCCAGATCCTTAAGACCGTTGCTTCGGGCGGTAAAACCCGCCCCACTCTCACGTCATCTTGGGAAGTGTAGTTCCAACTTCCTCCAGACATAGGGGCGCGGGCAGCTTGGAACTGCATTTCCCAGAAGGCTGCGCTCGCCGTTAGAGGAGCCGGAAGACTGGCGGGTGGGGTGAACCCCTCATCCTGGGTCTCTTAATTTCTCAGGCGGAATGAGTGGCGGCGGACAGACGCCTTTGGCGGCGCTGTCTGTGGGTTGTCTGGGTGTACGGAACTGGGCACAGAGACTGTGGCGCCGGTCATACAGCTCTGCCTCCAGTAGTGAGGCAAAAAGCTGAGGCGCTTCTCCTTTAATTGAGGTGGGCGTGGCGTGGCGAAGCGGCCCGCGTTGCTATTGGTGGTCGTTGGGGGCGCGGAAACTGAACCGACTGCAACGGCCACCGCTTTAGCCTCCGGTGCAGCCAGACCCGCCATGGCTGCGCCCTGCGCGGTAAGCCCCGCTGACTGCAGCTCCCCAGACCTCAGTCTCCCCGTTGGGACATTGGGCGCCTAGTGGCCAGAGCGATGGCTGCGAGGGGCGGGTGAGGTGCCGGGTTCCAGGGTGGTCCTCTTCAGGTCCAGTTTACCGTCTGTGCAGGGGGCGCTGGGTCGGGCACTTTCTGAGCACTTCCTGCGTGCCAGGCCCTGCGCCGGGTTTCTGGAGCGAACAAACAGGCTTCTGCCTCCATAGTTTGCATCCTAGCGAGGGATACACGACCACGTCCTGACTCACTTGTGACCTGGGGCCGGTATCGTGCATCTCTAGCTTTTCTCCCGGTTCTTAGCAGTGGGTGGCTGCATGGGGTCTTGTTGCGGGTACACCAAGCTCCCCAGACCTCAGTGCTCCAGCACGTGGATACAGCAGGACACTGGGATGCCCGGGCCTGCAGTGTGAGCCGGGCAGAGCCGCCCTCTCTGAGTCCACGCTCCTCCAGAGGTCCTCATTTCGAGAGATTCCTTTGAACGGGCCTGGCCCTCTGGCTGATTGGAGAGTCGGGGAGGCTGGGTGGTAGCCTGTGATGCCCTGAAGTACTTGAGGACTTGGACGGAGGGTTTAGGCTAGGAGCCAGACCTTTTGACTCCTAATCTGGTACTCTACCTCCCTTCATGTCCCCGCAAGTACAAACCACTGTTGAGGGAGATGAGGCCCACATGCAGGGAACTACAGAGGGGAGGTGATGTTGAGAGGTATCACGGGACCTACCGGTCAGGGGTGGACTTGGACTTGCCCCTTCCCACTGAGCCTAGAGGCGGGCACTCTCTTACCCATGTTCTTTCCAGAAGCTCAGGTGAGAGCAGAAGGCTCTGTTGGGGGCCGTCCCCCAGCTGCTACTCCCTTTGTTGTTGAAAGGAGACTCTGATAGGTGTGTTTGGGGTGGAGCTGGGCACAAGGCCATAGGGCCTTTGTTCTAGTTACTGCTCCGTAGGGTGGCAGTGGCTTTGCTGTGCCCCAACGATATCCTTTCCCAGGAGGAGGCTTTGGGCTCCCTGGAGCACCCAAAATGTTCCCTTGATGTTTCTGATAGTTAGAGTAGGGGGAGATGTTTGGATGGCTGAATTATAACCTTCAAGCATTGAGATACAAGCTGCTATTGGATGGAGATAGTCTCTGGAATACTCTTTCTGCTGTTTTCCTAAGCAATGTCCTGAATGGCCTTGCTCTTTCTTTGATGATGGGTAGAGTGGAGGTGGTGGTGATGCCATGGGGACCTGTCCAGGGCTGACCTTTCGGGTTCACTGGCCAGTCTGTGGTGGCATTGAGGTGATAGGTTCTGATTCCTGAGATGGGGTGAGGGATTGCTGTAAGGTCCCTATTTTCTCTCTCTAGGCTTTTAAAAAATTATTAAGATATTCACATACCATAGAATTCACCTCTTAAAGTGTACAGTTCAGTAGTTTTTAGTACATTCACAGTGTTGTGCAACTATAGTCACTAATTCTAGAATATTTTCATCATCCCAAAAAGAAACCCCATGCTCAATGACAGTCACCCTTGCTGCTTCTTCCCTTTCCCTATTTTTTCCCAACCCTTGGCAATCATTAGTATATTAATACTTTCTATAGATTTGACTATTCTGAACTTTTCATATGAATGGAATTAGACAAAATGTGGCCTTTCGTGTTTGATTTCTTTCACTTAGCAAGTTTTCAAGGTTCATCCATGTTGCAGCAAGCATCAGCACTCAGTCCTTCTTTTTTTAATTTATTTTATTTATTTATTTATTTATTTATTTATTTTGAGACGGAGTTTCGCTCTTGTTACCCAGGCTGGAGTGCAATGGTGCGATCTCGGCTCACCGCAACCTCCACCTCCTGGGTTCAGGCAATTCTCCTGCCTCAGCCTCCTGAGTAGCTGGGATTACAGGCACACGCCACCATGCCTAGCTGAATTTTTGTATTTTTAGTAGAGGCGGGGTTTCACCATGTTGACCAGGTTGGTCTCGATCTCTTGACCTCGTGATCCACCCGCCTCGGCCTCCCAAAGTGCTGGGATTACAGGCGTGAGCCACCGCGCCCAGCCACTCAGTCCTTCTTAATGACTGTATACTATTCTGTAGTATGGATATGCTGCATTTGGTTTATTCACTTATGTGTGGATGGACATTTGGGTTCATTCACTTGTTGGCTATTAAGAAAAATGCTGCTCTGAACATTTTTGTACAAGTTCTTGCATAAACCATGTTTTCAACACTTTTGAGTATTTACCTAGAATTGCTGGGTCATTTGCTAACCATGTTTAACTATATATATATATTCATTTATTTATTTTTTGAGACAGAGTCTAACTCCATTGGCCAGGCTGAAGTGCAGTAGTTTGATCTTGGCTCACTGCAACCTCCTCCTCCCAGGTTCAAGCAGTTCTCCTGCCTCAGCCTCCCAGATAGCTGGGACTACAGGCACCTGCCACCATACCCAGCTAATTTTTTTATTTTTAGTAGGGGGGCGGTTTCGCCATGTTTGCCAGGCTGGTCTTGAACTCCTGACCTCAGGTGATCCGCCTGCCTTTGCCTCCCGAGGTGCTGGAATTATAGGCGTGAGCCACTGTGCCAGGTTAACTACTTTTTTTTTTTTTTTTTTGAGTCTTGCTCTGTTGTTCAGGCTGGAGTACAGTGGTGTGATCAGAGCTCACTGTAACCTTGAATTCCTGTGCTCAAGCAGTCCTCCCACCTCAGCCTCCTGAGTATCTGGGACTACAGACACAAGCCAATCTACCTGGCTAATTCTTTAATTTTTTTGTAGGGACAGGATTTTGCTGTGTTACCCAGGTTGGTGTTGAATTCCTGGCTTCAAGTGCAAGTGATCCTCTTGCCTCAGCCTCCCAAAGTGTGGGGATTAGAAGTGTGAGCCGTTGTACCTGACCGATGTTTAACTTTTTGAGGAACTGCCAAATTGCTTTCCACAGTGTTTTTTTTTTTTAAGATCGTTTTGTTTTATTCTGGGTATCTTGTATTTTCATGTGAATTTTGGGATCAGCTTGACAGTTTCTGCAAAAAAGACACCTGGGATTTTGATAGGAATTATGTGGAATCTGTAGCTCAATCTAAGGAGTATTGTATCTTAATAATAGTATGTCTTCCTGTTCATGAACATGGAATGTCTTTCCATTATTTAAGTGTTCTTTCATTTCTCTCAGTGTCATTGTCACTGTTCAAGTCCTGCACTTCTTTTGTTAAATTATTCCTATTTCATTTTTTATATATCAAATTAAATAGTTCTATTTTTTGGATTGTTCACTGCTAGTGTACAGAAAGACAATTGATTTTTGTGTCCTGATTTTTGTATCCTGCCACCTTGCTGAACTCATTTGTTCTTTTTTTTGTTTTTGTTGAAGCTTTTCCACAGCTGATGTATTAATTTGAATAGTTTTTAGTGGATTCCTTAGGATTTTCTTAATATAAGATCATGCCTTGAGCATTTTTAACCCTCCCTGGCTGTTGTAGGAAGAGTGCTGGCCCTGGGGAACCCCCTTCCTCACCCAGGCTTCACACATTTGACCCTGGCTCTCCCTCAGGAGGACCCCTCGCTGGAAAGGCATTTTAAGGGCCACCGAGATGCAGTTACCTGTGTGGACTTCAGTATCAAAACAAAGCAGCTGGGTAAGAAGAGGCATTTTGTCTAGGTGCTAGGTTATGAGCTGAAAAGGCCAGTTTTTACCTCTGAGGTGTGGTGGGCGGGGAGCAGAGCACAGCAAGGACCACACAGCCCTGTTGAGACCATCTCACGGTCCCGTTTGTGGATGCCGGGGAAGGTAGAGCTGGGCCAGTTGCCCACCCTGCCTCTCCAATGTCTTGGTGGAGGCTTGAAGCCTGTTAAAGCTTTGGGTCATAGCATCACTCACTGTCCTCACCCTCTGTGTGCCAGCTCTTTGGGCACTGGGCTTCATGAGCTCTGTTTTACATGCAGAGCCTGAGGGTCAGAGAGGTTAGGGGCCTTGCTGAGGCCACACAGCTCTTGAGGGTGGGACTGGGATCTGGGCCTTTTCCTGCACACCCTAGCCACTTTTTTGGTCTGTCTTTTGGAGTGGGCCCTAAAACAGACTCCTTTTCCTTGAAGCTTTATTGATTCTGTTGCCCACAGTAATAAGGCACACCTTCTTGTTGAAGAGCCTTGTCGGTGAGAAGGCTGTTGCGCAGGGCCAGGCACCCCCTCACCCCCACTGCCCTTATGCTGCAGCTGAGTGCCCCCTTTCCTTGGTTGCATGAGGTTTTGCACACAGCCTTTATGACTGCACTTTCTGCTTCCTGCAGAAGCTTGCCCCTTCATCCTGTCATCAAGGCCCCCTGCCAGAGGCTGCTGGTCTCTGGTGTTTTAAAGGTTAAGAGAGAACTGAGGTCATTTTTGGTCAGTTTTGGGGACCTCCATTAGGCTTCATACTGAGTTGGGCCCTCTTAATGGGAGGGGCTGGCTCCCTAGCCGGAGAGGACTTGCTATCTGGTGCTCTCAGGATGTGTCGATGGGGAGACTCTGGGCCCCATGGGGATGAGTTTTCCCAGATTGCAGTCCAGGGCTGGCATGGGAAGGACCTAGGTCTTGTTCCCATGTGGGTGTGCTCCTTGGAGAACTCTGGGCCACAGGCTCTCCACCTCCAGACCACACCTTGAGATGTGCCCTGCCCTATGGGAGACTCCTCACAGTCCTGTTTGTGGATGCTGGGGAACGTGGTGCTGGGCCAGTTGCTCCCCCTGCCTCTCCAACATCTTGGTGGAGGCTTGAAGCCCCTTAAAGCTGTGGGTCATAGCATCACCCACTGTCCTCAGCCAGCGGCTCCATGGACTCATGCCTCATGGTGTGGCACATGAAGCCCCAGTCACGTGCCTACCGCTTCACTGGCCACAAGGATGCTGTCACCTGTGTGAACTTCTCTCCTTCGGGACACCTGCTTGCCTCCGGCTCCAGAGACAAGACTGTTCGCCTCTGGGTACCCAATGTGTGAGTTGTAGACTTTGAGGAGGCTTGTCAAAGTCTGGGGCCCTGGTGCCAGAGCCATCCCCACCCAGGTCCCCTAGCTTGGCTCTGGACTGGTCACAGTGGGACTTCTCTGCTTTGTAAGAGGTGCCATCAGAGACTGGGGCTGCAATTGGAGCCCTCCCCTCAGGGTTGGGAGAGGAGTTCTTGGCTGACTCCATCTATCCCTAAAGAAATGCCGTCTGATGCTGTGTTCATTTGGGTGGCCTGGGGGTGGTGCTCTGCTCCTGTTGGAGAAGCTCTGGCCTTCCCTTGTGGAGCCTGTGGTACTCGGGCTTGGCTGACTTTGGGATGGTGCTTGAGGAGTAGGGAGAGCTTTGATGTGCTTGTGCGCTTTCATGTCACTGTGGGGTTCCTCACTCTTGGATGCCTGTCCTTTTAGCAAAGGTGAGTCAACCTCGTTTCGTGCACACACAGCCACCGTGAGGAGTGTCCACTTCTGCAGTGATGGCCAGTCCTTCGTGACAGCCTCTGACGACAAGACAGTCAAAGTGTGGTCAACTCATCGCCAGAAATTCCTGTTCTCCCTGAGCCAGCACATCAACTGGGTCCGCTGTGCCAAGTGAGCATTGTCCTGTCTGGATACCCTTGGAGGAACCCTGGGGGTTGGGGGCTGGCACAGGGACTGCTAGGCACCAACTTGTGATCTTGGGAAAGTTACTTAGGCATTGTTTAAGCTCCTCAGCCTTGGTTTCCTTATCTGCAAAATGGAACTATAGTAGCTCCTGCACTGTAGGTTGTTGAGAAGCTTCACAGAGCTGATGCATGACACATAAGTTAGTCCAAAATCAGCCATGATGACCCTCTGACATCTGTGTTGACAAACACAAACTGGGTCCACAGAGGCCATTTATTATCAAAAACAAGAATTAGGTACTTTCAGTACACTGTACATTTTCTTTTTGTTTCTTGAGACAGTTCTGCAAGCTAGGTGGCATCATTTCCATTTTGCAGATGAGGAAATGGGGGCTCAGAACAGTAGTGTCTTGTCTCAGAGCACACGGTGGGTCTGTGGCAGAGCTGGAGTGTGAACCCAGCTTTCTGACAGTAAGGCTTGCCTACTTTCCTCTGCGGTGTTTTCAGAGGATTATTTTGCTCCAGAGCTCCCAGACTGGGGCTCAGGCTTCTGAGGTGGGGGCTTCGCCTGGAGGCTGACCTTCCCTCTGGCTGGGGAGCCAGTGCTCTGCAGATGGGGGCCAGGTGACCCAAAGGACTTTCAAGGTCCAAGAATTGCAGACAGATATTCCGACTTCTAGCTTATTTGGTTTTTTTCAACAGAGCTTCCTCATGGGTCATATGTCTTTACTTCAGAGGAAGGGGTTGGGGTGCCAGGGGACACTAGGAAACCAGGAGTCAGAAGTTGGGGACTACTGAGATGTGTTCTTCTGAGGACCCCATACAACTTACTGTTCTCCAGGACACCCCCATTCCTTTGTCCTGGGAGACCCCTGATGGCTCTTAGAGGCTTTATGACTAGGGTCCTGGGATCAGGAGGGGCCAGGCCAGCAAACTGGGGTATGAAGTCTGTATTGGGCCTTTGGTGGCAGTCCCCAGGACCTCATGCCTTTTGTTGGCAGGTTGTGTCTTGCTGACCCACACATGAGTCAAATGTAGACTCAGAGGACCTGGGCCCAGAGTCATGACACTGATGGTGAGCTTTTGGCCACCTTCCTGCAAAAGTTGCTGGCAGGCAGTGCTGGCTGCATGTTGCCATGTGCCGTGTGCCACGGGCCGTGCTGGTGCTTTATGTGCATAAGGCTGCTCTGTGCTCAACATGAGGCAGACACTGTTTTTTTTTATTTTTCTTTTCTTTTTGTTTATTTAGTTTGGTTTTCCTCTAGGTCGAAAAGAAGTCTTTCTTCCTTTTGGTCAGAGTAAGCTGTTGGGATGGGAGGGGGCTGTTGTGCATGAAGTTAAGTAAGAAAACAAAAACAAGAGCAACAGGAAGGGTCAATAAGTTTCACAAATTCAGGAAGAAAAAAATACAAGAAACAATTTTATAACATTTACAATTAAGTCATAGGCTGAGCTTAAGGGCACATACCTGTAATCCTAGCACTTTGGGTGGAGGAATGGGAGGATCCTTTAAGTCCTGGATTTAGAGACCAGCCTGGGCAACATAGTGAGCCCCATCTCTAAAAAAATAAAATAAAATAAAATTAGCTGGGTGAGGTGGTGCACACCTGTAGTACCCGCTACTGGGGAGGCTGAAGTGAGAGGATTACTTGAGCCCAGGGGGTTGAGGCTGGAGTGAGCTGAGATAACACCACTGCACTCCAGCCTGGGCGACAGAGCGATACCCTGTCTTAAAAAAACAAAACGCAACCAAAACCAAAATGTAGTCACAGGTTCCTGAAAAACTCTTTAGAAGGAAAAAAGAAAAATGATCAAGTGCTATAAGTTACGATTTTTAGTAACAAAGTATAATTTTAAGATAGAACCAAATAAACAGAAGTGACATTGCCTCCTAGGATGCGATGCATTTGTTCCTGAAAAGACATATTAGGGTACTCAAATTAAAAAAAAAATCACAGGACAGGTGCAGTGGCTCACGCCTGTAATCCCAGCATTTTGGGAGGCTGAGGTGGGCAGATCACGAGGTCAAGAGATCGAGACCATCCTGGTCAACATGGTGAAACCCCATCTCTATTAAAAATACAAAAACTAGCTGGGCGTGGTGGCGCGTGCCTGTAGTCACAGCTACTTGGGAGGCTGAGGCAGGAGAATCGCTTGAGCTCAGGAGGCAGAAGTTGTAGTGAGCCGAGGTTGCGCCACTGCACTCCAACCTGGTGACAGAGCGAGACTCCGTCTCAAAACAAGCAAACAAACAAACAAAAAATCACAGCAGGGAATGTAACCCCAGGTGGTTCCTGGAGGCAGATAGTAGGCACTTAAGGAAGAGTGGCTGTGGAAGAAGGTGTTGGTGCCCATGTCGTCTGTTAGTCCGTAGTGTGACTTGTGCCCCACCCGGTTCAGGTTCTCCCCCGACGGGCGGCTCATCGTGTCTGCCAGTGATGACAAGACTGTCAAGCTCTGGGACAAGAGCAGCCGGGAGTGCGTCCACTCATACTGTGAGCATGGCGGGTGAGTCCCTGGATGTTGTCCTCCACCTTGTAGGCGCTTAAGCACAGAGCACAGACCTGGGCTTGAGGAGGCCAGTGGCCTTCAGTGGCTGGAGCCATGGGACCAGCATCTTGTCACTGCTGCCCCTTGTCTGATGATTTTTTCGAGGTCTGGCAACCTAGCTCTGTATCTTTTCCTGGGTGGGTGGAAGCTTTAGCCCCATCCCACGAATAACAGGAGTGCTTAACCTCAAGCCTTGCAGTTCTTTGGAGCTGTGTAATTCTTTGGGCTTCTCTTTTTCCCCTTCACTTTCTGGTTCTTAGTATTACAACATGTCTTTCTGTGAGCAGTTGACACTCAGTCACCAAAACTACATTTTAAAAATGTGGTTTTAAACTTGGTATGTTACCCATGGTGATGGCTTTACAAACTTATTGTGTTCCTATAGCAGATGGTGGCTGTTCATATTGTGCCACATCATCAGGAGAGAGAGGAGCCCACATTTGAATAGGGACTCCAGCTTCTGCCCTCCTTTGGGCCTGGAGCCACAAGGTCTTCTCTTTGACAGCTGGACATGGTACCAGCCTGGGTATCACATATGGGTGTAGTGAGGGTCCTTGGCCTGTCTCCTAGAGAGAGATGGGCCAGTGGCCCTGTAGCCCTGATGGACCTTCTCACCTGTGCGTGAGCTGGGAGGATCTGCTCTGTAGCCACCCCTGGCAAGGGTACCAGCTCCAACTTTGAAAACCCCAGGACAGCCCGGCTGACTTTTGGGTTGGAAGATAGCTTTCTTACCTTGTATTTAAAGTTGGTGGTGGGATGTGCTCCCTGGTCAGTCCACCTTAGTTTGTTGCTGGCCACTGTTCTCACCTTCTACTTCTTGCTCTCCCTTGGCCATCTGGTAAACAAATGTGACAGAAAGGAGGTGTCTGCGTCTAGGGAACAGCATGGGCAGGACACAGGGATGGGAAAGCACTCAATGTTTTTGGGTCCATCCTGAACCAGGAAAGGCCTCCTGTAGTGCATGGTGGCCCCTGTCTTTCCAGCTTTGTCACCTACGTGGACTTCCACCCCAGTGGTACGTGTATTGCTGCTGCTGGCATGGACAACACAGTGAAGGTGTGGGATGTGCGGACTCACCGGCTGCTGCAACATTATCAGTGTAAGTGGTGAACAGTGTCCTGGGCCCTAGGACAGCCCTGGTGGGACTGTGCTGGTGTTGGTTCCGTGCTGCGGTGCTAAATGGGCCTGAGATGGCCTTGGGTGGGAAGGTGTCCTGGGTCTGTTGGGGTTCTAGTGGTGGGAGTCTGTGGCATGGCTGTCCTGGCCTGGAACTGTGGCCAGGAGATGGAGCTTGGTGCTACCTGGCTTCCACTGAATCCTTCAATGCCCACCTCCAAAGTGGCAGAGTCTCACGCACACTGCAGGCCAGATGATGAGTCCACTGGGGCTCTGGCCAGGGCTTCCCTTGAGGACCACTTCTCAGGGGCATGCCACTCACCTTTCCTGGTGATGGAGGCTCTGCCCTCCGGGGCCAAGGTGACAGCCCATGACCTATGGTAAAGGGAACAGGGCTATCAGTAGAGGCAGCATTGTGGCCACCTCTGGTCTTACAGTGTCCTCCACAGATGTAGAGCCGTGAGCCATAGGGAGGGTTGACTTAGCTAGAGGTCAGGCCCAGGATGGTAGCCCTTGAAAGGCAGGGTGGTGGGCAGTAAACATGGGCTCATGTCAGGCTCAGGTGGGAGTTGGAGGGCGAGGGCGGACTTAGACATGCCCAGGATAAGCTAGCTGAGAGTGTTGGGGTAGGGAACTGGCCTGATAGCAAGTATGAGTGGGCAGGGCCATGAGGCACCCCAGTTCCGGGGTTGGGCCCGGGGAAGGGAGCTGGTGAGGAGTCATTGGAGAAATTGGGAATTGTGCAGCTGGCAAAACAGAGATGAGCAAGACTGGACCAGGGCCGAGACCAGGAAGGAGGCAGAGCTGGAGTTGTTTGAAGAATCATGGTCATTGACCTGGGACTAAGCTTAAAGTTCTTGGGCTTGCTTCCATAAGCCACACCTGAAATGGGAAGGACATGGCTGGACACAGGTGTGGGGCTCCGAAACTCCCACACCCTTCCTAGCTGACTCTTGGTGTTCGAGGACAGCACTTTCTTGGGGGTAACTGAGGTGAGCAGACCTTCCCAGAATGGGAAGATCCTAGTCTTGAAAAGCACATGATGGCGAGCGGGCTCTGCAGCCAGTTTTTAAAACATTCTTGGCTGTGTGATGTTGGGCAGGTCATTTGACTCCATGGGGCTCCTGGGACAGTGATGGGGCCTGTCTCACAGGAGGTGTTGGGAGGGTTAATGAGTTGTCTGATATTAAGAATTGAGAGGGTGGCTGGCAGAAAAAGCAGGGAAGGAGGTACAGTGTTAGTGATGATGACAATGACAGTGTCTCTCTCAGTCCTGTCTGGCCTGGTGAGGCCAGCCTGGTTGGTTAAGGCCTTTAGTACCCTACACCACCACCAGGTGGCAGGGGCCAGCCACAAAGAACATTTTTTCCCCCCCACACAGGAAGCCCTGGGGTTTGCCACCAATGCTCTTTCAGACAGAGGCTTCTGGAACAGAAGAGCAGTGGGGCTTGCCTCCACTTGGAGCCCATACCTCTCCCATCCCTCTTTCAGCTTTCTACCCTGGGCCAGGCCTGAGTGAAGGGCACATCTGCACAGTTGACAGGGGTATGTGGGCAGGTGCAGAGGAGGGAGGACTTGGACAGGGAGAGATGAGAGGGGAAGGCAACGAGGCAGGACAGTGGTCAGGAGCACATGCTCTGCTTCCTTTCTGTAAAGGGGGTGGCAGTAGGCCTTCCTCATGGCTTTGTGAGGCTCTGGTGGGAAAAGCCACTTAAGGACTATAACACAGGGCTGAGTATGTGGTTTGTGCTGTGTACGTCCTGACACTGGGAGGAGAGGATCTCTAGGTGACCCTGGGAGGGTCCAGGCCCATCTCTGATGGATCAGGAGTCTGGGCCTGTTAACGGGTATAGCTGCAGGTACCCCTTGGGAAGGGCCTCAGATGCCATCTCTGGCTCAGGGTCCCAAAGATGTGGCCTGATAGGCAGTGCTAGGACTGGCCTCATCATTTAAGGTGTGAAGGGAAGAAGGACATCTGAGAGGGCAGTGGTGTCCAGAGCCTGCTGGGGTTGGGGGGCTGGTATGCCCCAGTGATGGGTTAGTGGACCAGCTGTGCCTAGTATCAAAGTGGGGGCTGGCATCAGAGTGGGGAATGGGTTTCAGAGATTGAGTAGAAGCAGAGAAGCTGACCCAGTTGGCCCCAGGGATCTGGAATGTGAGAATGGCTGAGGCCACATTCTGAGTCCCTATAATTGAGGGGCCACAGAAGATAAAAGGTCCACAAAGTAAGCCAGAGGGAGGGATATGAGCCCCATCTCCCAGCATGGGAGAGCTGAGGAGGGCAGAGGCTGGGGAGTGAAGGAGAGTGGGGTCTTGTGAAGAGGGTGGTCAGGAGGTAGTGTGATGCAGAGCAGTCGAGGAGACTGGTGGGTGCTGGGGAGAGGGACCTGGGGTCCTTGAGGGAGCAGGCTTGGCGGTGGGTAGGAGTGGAGCTCCATGATGGCAGGTCAGGGAGGTGTGGGTGGACTCAGATGAGCCCTGGGGGCCAAGACCTGAGTGGAGCTGAGTGTGTGGGCTGACAGGCCCCGCTGGGAGATTGCAGTCTGCTTGTGCTTCTGGCCTTGCCTCTTATGACAGCCTCTGAGTGGGCCTGCAGTGTCTCATCCCTAAGCCACCCCTAGTGCAGATAGGAGGCTTAGTGGGATTTGGAGTGCCCCATAAACACAGCCGGTTCCCCCTGAACTCCCCATTCAAGGCCATGGCTAGTGGTAACTGTTCACAGGATAGTGGACTCATCCCATAGCCCCTAGGCTGACCCTCAGGCACAGTGAGCCAGGTTGATCTGAGCTCACCGGTAGGGGGAACATACCTCTCATCCTCTGCTGACGGGAGGACCTGGCCAGGTCTGCTCAGGTCTAGGGGCTCGCCAGGAAACCTCTAGCTGAAACTAGTGGGGAACCCTCTACCCAAGTGACTCCCCCACTCCCATAGGTGCAGTGGGATCTCTTTGGAGGCTCATTCCCCAGGAAGGGCTCCCAGTGGCTCCCAGTACCCTGGCAACGGATGCCCAATCTGCTTTCTTTCCCTGATCCCTAGGAAACCCAAGGGAAACCTAAGGACACAGTGACATCCAGTGTCTCCCATAATGACTCTGGATGGGCACCAGGCACTTCCAGAGTGGCCTTCTGATGTCAGAGGTTGATGGTCTCTTGTGAGAGGAGTTGGTTAATGTTATTGCAGTGTGTGGCTAGTAAGCCAACCTGCCTACGTCCAGCCGTTTATGTTGTGCTCTATGGAGGGCACTTCCTGTTCTGGCTAGGGTTGTTGGAGTTGAAGCCTGCTTGGGGCTTTGGGCTATTGGAGGCAGCTGGAGCCATTTTCCTTGTGCTGGCTGACTCTCTTCCCAGGCAAGGAGTTTCTTGGCTCTGGCCTATCACTGGAGGGAGCAGTTCTGATTTCCCAATTCAGCAAGGAGTTGATGGGCTTGTGGAGCCCTAGGAGTGCCAATCCCCATGGCGGTGGGTTAGCTCCATATGCTCTAAGCCCACGTTAAGACTGTTCAGGCATCTGAGCAGCAGCCCCCGTCCCAGAACCTGTAATGTGCTTCGTGGCTTACAGCACGTGCAGGTCCATTATCCAGTGACAGGCCTTGGTGGCCAGCAAAGTAGGGTTACTCTCCATTTCACAAATGTGGAGTGTGCAGCCCACGGTCACACAGCTGGAAAGCTGTGGGTCTGAGTCTCCACCTGAAGGCCTTTGAGCCTGGCATTCTGTCTACTGTCTCATGCTGGGTTCCTTGCACTTCGATGATTAGTCATTTAATTCCCAGGCTCCCTGGGAGAGGTGGTCTCTTTGGCTGGCTGTCAGCAGGGCTTAGAACTCAGAGTCCTACTGGTCCTTAGTGTACTCCTGCACCCCCGCCTGGCCTCCTACATGGTCATGGAGGGTTTTTTCTTTTTTTTCCTTTCAGAGGTGGGGTTGGGATCTCACTGTATTGCCCAGGCTGACCTTAAACTCCTGAACTCAAGCAGTCCTCTCACCTCAGCCTCCCAAAGTGCTAGGATTATAGGCATGAGCCAGCATGCCTAGCTGGAGGGTTTTAAGTAGTTGCAGCTAGCAGGGCAGGCCTGCACCCTGTACTTGGTGTTTTGAGACTAAAAGAGTTGATTGGGGTGCTGTGGTGCTGTCTCACCAGATCTAGCCAACCTACATTTCCACCATCTTGAAGGGAGCATTTACATGGCATTTGCGAAGAGGAGTATTTTGGGTGTCCTTTGCTGCAGGTATCAGAGCACCTTTGTGGTATGAATCCAAAGCCTCTTGTTAACCCAGAGCCACCATGTCACTGGTAATACCAGTTGCGCATTACAAGATACCACCCTGGAGAAAGTGAGTTGTCCTTTTGTGGAAGGATGTTGGGGTGGGGCTTGGCCCTGGCATGGTCTCCTCCAAAGAGGTACCTCCTGCATGGGCACCCAGGCTTTCTCTGGGCCCTCGGCTGGTTTGGAGCCTGTTAGGTAGTGGGCCTAGGTTTGCCCAGGCCTTTACATGCAGAGGGTTGTGGAGGGCAGGTATTTGGGTCTCTGCTTAGGCGACCTGCTGCCCACAATCCATGACTAGTTCCTGGTGTTTGGGAGCAGGGGTTGTGGTGGCCTCATCCCTGGGCCCCTGATGATCTGTAGAAGTTTGACGTTGGTGTATCTCTGACCTGGAGTCAGAGTTCTCTCTTTGGGATGGACAAGGGGAGATAAGAGCCATGAGCTCATAGCTGCCACCTAGGTGGCAGTGTGTGTCATTACTTATATCTGCCATGGAGCCAAGAAGAGGCCTGCGGCTTTGGACTTGACAAAAAGTGGGTCATTCTCAGACAGTTGGCGCTCAAGGCATCATGCCAGAAGGCTCATGCCCTCATGGAGCCTTCATGGTAGACTCCATGCAGGGATGGTTCTTATGATGAGGCCTCCCTAGATTACCCGCTCTCTACCACCTCCACAGAGGCAGGAGTGAGAATAGAGGCTGGTGCGGCCAGTGGATGAGGCAGAGAGCAAGTGGGGAAAGGCGGGTGGGTCCTGGTGTCTGGACATTCCCCAAAGCCTGGTGTGCCAGGCCAACCCCTCTTCTGGAGTAAATGGCTCTTGGTGTTTCCACCCAGCCTTGGGTATTCCTGGCATTTATGTGGAGTGGGGCTTCTGATACCCTTCCTCTGGGAGAGATTCTTTCTTGGATGGGCTTGACCAGGTGGAGGGCCATGGTGTGGCCATCCATACACTGACCCTACCACCCTGGTGGTGCTGGGAAGCCCTGAGCTCCCTGAGCGTGGCCTCCCTTCTGCACCCTCCTGCCACCGGCTGCTCCTCTGCCAGCTTCTGCTCATGGAGGGGTGGGGGTGGCCTTTATCCCAGTGCAGACTTTGTGTGTGTGTGGGGGGCTCTGAATTCTGCCTCTGAGAGCTGGCTTCAGAGACCCCACTGGTCCCTCTCCAGGCTGCCTCCTAGAGTTCCTGGCGCTTGGAGGGTGTTGTTCAGATATAAATATCATGTTACGTAAAGCCTTGGCTGTCTCCCCTTAAGTGTGCTTGGGAACATGTATCCAGACTCCCCAGCACATCAGCACATCAGCTGGGTTGGCATCTGAGGGGCTGCATGCACCCTGTGGGCTTTGTTGAGGACCGTTTCACAGTGGGCGTGTTTACCAGCCCAGCAGTGGTTCTTGCAGCCTCCCGGTGCTAAGATGACGGTTGGTTTTGAGTTTGCCTTTATGTTGGTGGCAATTCTGACTTGGCAGGGTTGCGGTTATTTTAGCCCCACTGGTTTTCCTCATTGGGCTTGTGGTAATGGGAAGGAAGACACTGGGGTTTTCCTCAGAAGTCACCCTAGGAGGCTGTGATACAGCTGATCCATGCATTGGCTGTGGAGTTGCTCTAGACTGCCCAGGTCTGCCCCTGGCTTCACCTGGAACATGCTATTGGCCTTGAGGAAGGGCTGTATAACCTGCTGGGGCTTCTGTATGCCCAGCTTAAGCACTTGCTCACCAACTACTTTCTGAGTCCTGCTTGGCGCCGGCACTGAGCTGGGAGCCAGGGACTCAGCACCACCCCTGCCTGCTGGAGTTCATGGTCTCGTGGGAGATCCAGATGCGAGTCAGATAGTTGCATGTAAACATGAAGAGTGAACTGATAGGAAGCTTGTGGTGCTTTGGAAAGACAAATGAAGGGGTAGCCCTAATTGGGAGGCCAGGGGAGGCTTCCTGGCGGAGGTGGTTTCCAGTACTGACCTTTAAGGTCAGGGACAGGGGAGGGCAAAGTCTCCCAGGCCCGTTGGAAACAAGGGGTAAAAAAAGCTCTGCGGCTGGGGGAATTGACAGAGCTGGTGGGGTGGCCGGATCTTGGAGAGTGAGGGATACCAGAAAAGATGATGGGGTTAGGCTGGGATGACAGGGAAAAGAGAGTCATGGACAGGCCCAAGCTGTTGAGTGGGTGAAATGGCAAGACCTGGAGTTGCATGGGATGCAGGGGGCAAAGGAGAGGAACATCTGTGTTGGCATTGGATGGCTCACTCTGCAAAGGCCTCATGTGCTTAACTTAGTAGCATCCCCACAGCACCCGCACAGATGGAGGAACTGAGGCTCAATGTGGTCAAGATGCTTGCTCAGGCCAGACGTGGTAGCTCACGACTACAATTCCAGTGGTTTGGGAGGCTCTGGCAGGTGGATCACATGAAGTCAGGCGTTTGAGACCAGCCTGGCCAACACAGTGAAACCCCATCTCTACTAAAAATACAAAAATTAGCCAGATGTGGTGGCGCACCTGTAGTCCCAGCTACTCAGGAGGCTGAGGCAAGAGAATCTCCTGAACCCATGAGATGGAGGCTGCAGTGAGCTGAGATTGTGCCACTGTTCTCCGGCCTGGCGACAGAGCAAGACTCCATCTCTTAAAAAAAAAAGATGCTTGCTCAAGGCCAGGGTGTGAGCTGACAGGAGGCTGGGGGTCCGAACGCGGGCCTGACTGGTTCCTAAGAATGTCTGAGCTTTCTGCTCGTCTGCCCCCATGCACGTCCTTCCTGTATGGCAGTGGCATTGTATTGACATTTCAGGTGTTTTATTTCCCATTTGGATTCTTGAAAGAAACCAAATGTATGTTGGACAGACCAAAGGCTATGTTTGTATGTCTGAGTGCTCTATTTTGTGCCAGCTTGACCACTCAGTGCCATGGGAGAGGATGGAGGAATTGTCTGCTGTCTCTGGCTTTTGCATCTGTTTCCATCTGCCTGTCTTCCACTGCCTGCCTTTGGCTTTGAATGGGCCTTTTCCTGTCCTTTGATTGTTTCCCTCTCCTGGGAAATCCCTACTGGGTTCTCCACAGCTCTTCTGAGCAATGACCATCCTGGCCCAGCCCCATCAGGCCTGTGACGAGCCTCGATTAGCCCTGATTGCCCGTCCTGGGCTTCAGCTTGCTCCCTGTGCCTCCCAGCCAGCACCTGACTGATGTCCTTCCCCCAGTGCACAGCGCAGCAGTAAACGCGCTCTCTTTCCACCCGTCGGGAAGCTACCTGATCACGGCCTCTAGCGACTCGACCCTGAAGATCCTGGACCTGATGGAGGGCCGGCTGCTCTACACACTACACGGGCATCAGGTGAGAGGTGTCGGCCAGGTTCTGAGTGGTGTGGAGTGGTGATACCGTCACAGTCTGGACGGTGGGTGAGATGCAGAAACAAGCTTGTCACTCACACAGCCTGCAGGGAGAGGGATAGAGGCCTTTCCCTGTGACCTGGACAGATTGCTGGGCCTGGGACTGGTACAGCTGAGAAGGGTATATGAGAGTTGAATTGGGCAGGGGTTGGGGGCTCCATCTGGGCATGGTTGGCAAGCTGCCCCCTAGGATCCTAAATGGAATCTGTCCCCTAACGGCCTCAGCCATCCCTGGGTCCAGAGGTTGAGTTGAGCCTTGGAACCCATGCTCTGAGCTGACATCAGGGTCTCCTAGAGGTCCTCAGACTGGCAGACATCGATGTGTCTAGAGACCAAGGCAACTTCAGGTGTCTTGCAGGGGCTGGGCCGAAGAAGGGAAATCCCCTTCATGTTTGTTTGAGAATTCCTAGAATGGAATCAAGGAAGCAGAGGCCTCCTTTCTGAATGAGCTTCAAAGCAGCTGGTGCCCTGGTCTCCCTGGGTGGGGAGTGGCCAGTGCGTGGGCCCCTGGGGTTTGGCTGTGGGGAGTAGGCCGCATGCAGCTCTCCCTAGCAGCTGGCCTGGGTCCAGGCCTTTCACACCTAGCACTCCCACTAGGAAGTAGTGTCCGAGCCCTCCTGACCAGAATAGTCATCAGAATGTCTCCTACTGGAGCAGTCATCAGAATGTCTCCTGCCCACTTGGGATGGGAGGTCTGGAGTCCAGCGATTTCAAGTTTGTCCCTCCTCAGCCTGCCAGGCTGAGGGAGGCCTTGGGGGTGCTTATATGGCTTGGGCCGTCAGCTAGGTGTGAGATGTCTAGCCTGGTGCTTTCTGAGCTGCTGTTTGGGTTTCCACTGCCATCTGAGTTAGGGGACCTGGGGGCCATTTGGCCATGGTTAGGGGATAGGGACATAGGCCTAGAGGCTGCTTGCTGCCTCCAGCCTTGTTGTGATCCCTTGCCTTCCCTGTCAGGGACATATCCAGTGCACAAGACCAGTGAGCCTGTTCTCCCTGGGCTGGCACTTGCAGAGTGGGTGGCTGCTGGGCCTGGTGTAAGCCTGTTCAGGAGCCACCTTTGCTAGCCTTTGGTAAGCCAATTATTCAGATTCATGTGTAACCGTTTGGGACCTTATGCCCATGAGGGCATTTGAAAATCATGTGAATGCTGTTACCTCTCCTGCCTCCCTCAAAAACAACAACAGCAGCAACTCAGAAACAGTTTGAAACAGATGCATATCAAGTGATCACCTCTTTTTGTGAGTGTTCTTTAAACAGCGAACTCACCACTTAGGCTGAGAACACTTGAATGTTGAATCTAAAATGTCATTCCTGGTGTTCTGGCATTGCATCCAGCACACAGATGAAAGCTGTTGACATTGTTCTCTCTGGGAAGTGAAGCAAGGACCGTGGTGCATCCCCTTGTGTGGTCGCTTATCTGCTGTTAAACCTAGAGATGTGGGAACCAGGCCGAGGGACAGCTAATGGTTTAGGGTGTGGATATGGCTGGGTCTTTTCTTCTTCAGGGCACCAGGCTCACAATGCCCAGAGGAAAGGAGAAGAGAAATGAACCGATCTCTGTTCCTTACTAATGATGTGGAAGCAGCAACATGATTGAAGAGGCAGGCTGAGGGCTGAGGTAGGGGTATTGAGTGTGTGAGCACGTATGGGGCAGGACTGCCCAAGAGAAGGCCTTATTTACTTCCAGCAAAGAACAGCTCACCTCCATGCCCCAGCCTGGCACCCCTGGGACCCAGGTCTGCCAGGGTTTGCTGTGGCTCTTTGTCATGTTTAGCTCTGCCCCTGGGTTTGGAGTGATTCAGAGTCAGCTAATGGGGCAGGCACGGTAGCTCACACCTGTCATCCTAGCACTTTGGGAGGCTGAGGTGGGAGGATTATTTGAGCCTGGGAGGTTGGGGCTGCAGTGATCCGTGATTGTGCCACTGTACTCCAGCCTGGGTGACAAAGCAAGACAATGTCTCAACAGAAACACCCCCAAAAAAGAGAGTCAGCTAATGTTCGTTTCCTAAGGGAGCGTAGTGCAGTCGAGCAGCCTTAATTTGGGCATTTGGTTAAGATACGGGGTCCACTGTCTGAACAAAATACCTCGCGTTTGTGGAGATCTGTGGCTCCTTTGCTCCAACCAAGGGGAGAAATCCGCAGGGACTGGGCCTATGTTGTCGCCCAACTGGTTCCTAGGATGTTCATGACCCATGAGGGCCTGGCTGGGGTGGGCCACATCACAGGGGCCTGCTGACAAAGGGGCCGGGTTCTGCCTGTGCACTCTGCAGCAGGTGTGTCGACCTCATAGGCTCCCACTCACCCAGACCTTCCAGTAAGATGTGCAGCTGGTTCTTTGGTGACTTCATCTTTCACATTCTGTTCCGGGAAGTGGCGATGTGATGGGGTCCTGGTGGCCAAGGGCCTTATGGAGTGCAGCTGCTATCAGCCACTTCCTGAATTGTGTGGCTGAGCAGCCCGGGGCTCCTGAGTAGGTCTCGGGTGCCTGGGGCTTCTGTCCTATGGATAAGGAGGATGGCAGATTGGAAAGCATTTTTTTTTTTTGAGTCCAGATGGTGAAACTGAGAGCTGTCTGGATTTATAGGGGTCTTATGACTCCTAGGGTGCCAGAGCTGGGACAAGTACTTGTGTCTGTGCAGTTTCTATCACATGTACATACGACTTTTAAAATTCCATTTGTGATTTCACTCTTATTTTGATCGATTTATTTATTTTTGAGACAGAGTCTCATTTTGTTGCCCAGGCTAGAGTACAGTGGCGCGATCTCAGCTGACTGCAACCTCCGCCTCCTGGGTTCAAGCGATTCTCCTGCCTCAGCCTCCCAAGTAGTTGGGATTACGGGCATTTGCCACGATGCCCGGCTAATTTTTGCATTGGGTTTCGCCATGTTGGCCAGGCTGGTCTCAAACTCCTGACCTCAGTTGATCCACCCGCCTCGGCCTTCCAAAGTGCTGGGATCACAGGCATGACCCACTGCATCTGGCCTTCTTGTTTTTATTTACTTATTTTTATTGGGGTAACATATATGTATATAATTCACCATGTTTACCATTTTAAGTGTACAGTTCAGTGGTAATAAATACATTTATATTCTCTTCTTTTTATGCCTTCATTCCCTGGTTCCCGTTCCCCATCCTAGCCCTGGTAACCACCAGTCTACTCTGTCTTCATGAGATCCATGTAACTCCCACAGATGTCACTTTTGTGTTTTGCTCACAGGTCTGTGTAGGGTACCAGCAGGCTTATGGCGGCTTGTGTCCTCATCTTGCTGCTACATGACCCCATTCTGATCCAGCAGGAAGCAACCCCATGAAACTTTGGTTTGGACACAGAGGACCTGCTGTGTCCTCAGAGTTGCCTAGGAAGAGCTGTGGGAGAGAGGGCCACTGAGTCTTTGGGCCGGTGGTGCAGCAACTCCCTTGTGCTTCCACTTCCGCATCTGAGAAGTGGACGATGCAGGCTGGGGGTGAGCAGCAGTGAGGTCAGCTGCAGGGAGCTGCTGTGGGGATGAGGCGGACCTTGACCAGGGGATGGGGACTCCACAGGTGCCAGGAGAAGGGCCCTAGCAAGCCCTCTGGGGGAACTGTGGGGAGGTTCAGGGTAGAGAAAGTAGGGTCAGGGCACAGTACTATTGGGCTTCAACTGTCTTGTCTGAGTTGAGACCAGACTCACCCCGATATACCTTTCAGTTGTCTCCTAAGGTACAGAAGCGCCAGGACAGGAAATTGCCAAGTGCCAGCTAAGATGAGGATCATCCAGGGCAGCCCTGGGTCTCCGGGGCTAGACCTGTGTGCTGGTGTTGAGGGCAGCTCGTCAGCCAGGAGTCGGCATGTGGGTGGCTTGGTGGTTCTCTGGCACATGAGTGGCACACGTCGGCCCATTTCGGGGGCCTTTTGTTTGGGCAGGCTCACTTCATGAGACTAGGGGGTTATCTTAGTCTGTTTTGTGCTGTTGTAGTAAAATACTTGAGACTGGGTAACTTATCAAGAACAGAAAGTTATTTTTCAGTTCCAGAGGCTGGAAGTCCCAGATCAAGGTACTAGAGTTTGGGGAAGGCTGCTCTCTGCTTCTGAGATGGGGCCTGAGTGCTGCATCATCTGAGGGGAGGAACACTGTCCTCACATGCAGAAAGTGGAATGGTGGAAAGGACCAAACTCCCTTTCTCAAGCCCTTTCATAAGTGAGCCTAATCCCCTTTGTGAGGGCAAAGCCCTTGTGACTTAGTCACTTCCAAAAGGCCACACTTACTTTGGAAATTCAGTTTCTTTTTTTTTTTTTAAGAGATGGAGTCTTACTCTGTTGCTCAGGCTAGCTGGAGTGCAGTGGCACAACCTCCGTCTCCCGGGCTCAAGCGATCCTCCCATTTTCCCATTTCAGGCTCCTGAGTAGCTGGAATTACAGGCGCATGCCACCACTCCTGGCTAATTGTTTGCATTTTTAGTAGAGACAGGGTTTTACCATGTTGACCATGCTGGTCTTGAACTCCTGACCTCAAGTGATCCGCCTGCCTCGGCCTCCCAAAATGCTGGGACTACAGGTGTGAGCCACCATCTCTGGCTGGGGATTCAATTTCAATATCAATTTTGGTGGGGACAAAAACATTCAAACCATAGCAGGGGTGGATGTTGGTTACCAGTTTATTGTGACCCTGAAGAATTCTGGTGCTTCTCTCCTGCAATCTTTGCTTGAGGACTCTGGGCGACAAAGGATCCTCTGCCTCTCAAAGCTGCCCACCCTGAGAGGAGAGTGGACAGATGGGGAAGTACTGCCTGTGGGGCATGGTGCATTGCCCTCTTTCCGCAGCCTTTGCCCTGGGAGCACCAGAGCCTGCACTGGTCACCTTTGCAAACATCTTTGACTGAGGCCAAGTGCTAGGAGGTGTTCAGCTGGGGAGGTTACACAGCCTTGTCTGGTGGGGAGTGATACTTAGCTTTCTCAGGAAAACCCCAGTATTTTTAGGAACAAGCAGTTTGTACCCACCCATTTCTGGTTTTGAAAAACCATGGGTCCTCTCCCATCTTGTTCATCTGAAACAGCCTGAGCTTCAGGAGGGGAGGAATGGGCTTGGGCACTGGGTCAGATGATTCCAGTGTTGCCTCTTTTTATGTGACATTGGGCAAGAC